AGCGATGTGTCCAGGTGAACGGTAAAGTTGTAGAACGCTGTCAAAATGGAAGGCAGCGGTGCATTCGTCACGCTAAGGCTACATGTTAAAGCCAAAACTTTACAGAATTACTATAGTACAAAGTACACCCGACGAACAAAGCCGCTTGCCGAGGGAGTCCGGAGTGTGCCGCAGCATTATGCATGCTATATTGCTTTAACAGGGTGCGAAATAATTTGCATACTACCGCCAGGCGATCTCAGTTCAATTTAGGAGCATGCCCATGTCCGTATACGTGTAGTTGTACCCCACAGCCGGGCAGTCTCACTTCAAAGCCACGCAATAAGTTGGAATGTGACATAAATATTTTCCATGCTCTGTGACCGTTGGTCGTCCTACGAATCGTGTTTGTGAGCGCTGTTTTTCGTGAATGGCATATCTCTGGAACTTTTTTATTGCAAGGGCACTTCTCGGTGAAGTCCGTTTTGACTCCGACCTTTGCAGGAGCTCCAGCTGCATACATTCTCCCGGACGCTGGTTGGCTGCCAGCACGCGTGCATACTCATTTATGGTTCGTTTCGCCTTCTAGGCACTGTTCCAACAGGTATCAAACAAGTTGAGCTGAGCGGACATACCACTGTCCTGTGCTAACGAGAAATGTATTACATTGTCTCGGCAATCCCTAATGTACTTTATTGTCTCGACAATCACTAATGTATTTGTGCAGGCAATCACTAATGTATTGTATTGCCTCGGCAATCGCTGTCATTCCGCTATGCACACATGCCTTCTCTATCGCACCTAAACAACATAAACGGCGTCGCGTTTTCACTAAAGCCATACACAGGACAGACTGAGACCCTGCTCAACGACAGATGCGTCGCATCACGTTCACGAACGGACTCGTCCGTTCGCTTTAAACAGCCATGCACGTGATGACGTGTCGCGCAACACCAACGATGTGTGCCGATCTCTCTGCCATCATTGCAATCGGCACGAGGGGCCGCCGGCGCCGCCGGCCGGTCAAGAGTTGACCACCTCCTCCCAGAGGCCGGGGAAGCAGGGCTCGCGCGCCAGCAGCGCCACGCTCGCCGTCCAGAGCGCGTCGACAGCCGGCTCCAGGAAGAACTCGCGCAGCACGGCGGCCAGCTTCAGGCGGCGGAAGGCGCGCAGGCAGAGGTGGGCGTGGCCGCGCTGCGCCACGCCCGCCGCGCCCAGCGAGAGCGCGCGCAACTCGGCTAGCGCTTGGCGCGCCGCCTCGCGGAGGATGTCCGACAGTTCGAGTTGGTAGTCAGCCGGTAGGTGGCGGACGAGCGCGAGCGGCGCCAGCTCGTGGACAGGGAAGAGCAGCGGCTGTTCAGGCAGCTCGGGCAGCACAGTGAGCAGCGCGTCGGTGGCCGCGCGCACCAGCGCCACGTCCTCAGAGTGGATGTTCATCTCGCCCTTGTCAAACACCCGGTCCGCGTCCTGCCGGGTATCGGGACGCACTCAGCTTCGCCGGGGAACACGCCATCAGGCATCAGACACACTCAGCTTCGCCGGGGAACACGCCGTCAGGCGTCAGACACACTCAGCTTCGCCGGGGAACACGCCGTCAGGCGTCAGACACACTCAGCTTCGCCGGGGAACACGCCGTCAGGCGTCAGACACACTCAGCGTCACCGGGGAACACACCGTCAGGCGTCAGACACACTCAGCTTCGCCGGGGAACACGCCGTCAGGCATCAGACACACTCAGCTTCGCCGGGGAACACGCCGTCAGGCGTCAGACACACTCAGCGTCACCGGGGAACACGCCGTCAGGCGTCAGACACACTCAGCGTCACCGGGGAACACGCCGTCAGGCGTCAGACACACTCAGCTTCGCCGGGGAACACGCCGTCAGGCGTCAGACACACTCAGCTTCGCCGGGGAACACGCCGTCAGGCGTCAGACACACTCAGCTTCGCCGGGGAACACGCCGTCAGGCGTCAGACACACTCAGCGTCGCCGCGGAACACGCAGTCAGGCGTCAGACACACTCAGCGTCACCCGGGAACACTCCGTCAGGCGTCAGACACACTCAGCCTGGCCGCGGAACACGCCGTCAGGCGTCAGACACACTCAGCTTCGCCGGGGAACACGCCGTCAGGCGTCAGACACACTCAGCGTCGCCGCGGAACACGCCGTCAGGCATCAGACACACTCAGCGTCACCGGGGAACACACCGTCAGGCATCAGGCACACTCAGCCTGGCCGCGGAACACGCCGTCAGGCGTCAGAAACACTCAGCTACGCCGCGGAACACGATGTCAGGCGTCAGATACACTCAGCTTCGCCGCGGAACACGATGTCAGGCGTCAGATACACTCAGCTTCGCCGCGGAACACGCCGTCAGGCGTCAGCCACAAGGTTTTTGATGCAAACCACAGGCATGTACACATGCACGCTTACAAATGGGATGAATGTCCAGTGTAACTCTTACAAAAATAAAATACAGCTTTTTGGCTTTTCTATCTAGCTAGCTACCCCAGATTTAGCAGCTTTCCTGGCCGTGGCCGAAATGCCCAAATGTTAATTGAAAGTGTGACAACAACGAATCCAAAGGAGCCCAACCTTACTCTCCGTTCATGGTCGTCCTCCCTCCTCCTGCCATGATGACCTCCGCTGACCGGGCGACAGCGGCCGCCGTGCTCACCTGGAGGCGCCCGATCTGGCCGCCGTCATCCTCGGCGAACGTCCACTCCAGCAGGGCTCGGATGGTGACACGCAGGTCACGCTCCGCCAGCCGGCCGCAGAACGTCGCCAGCGCCCGCTGCAGAGGGCAGCACCGCTCGTCCGTCCAGCTGGCGGCCGGCGCCCGAGGCGGTCAGGGCACGACGCCGATCAACGACCGGGGCGCCGGGGTCACGCACGAATTCCAACGAGGTGGGGGAAGGTCAAGCCAGGCAACTGCAGGCAGCGAGGTCGGAACTGATAAGTATGACAAGGGTCACGTGCACTGCCTTCATTAGTCATAAGCCCTCCACCACAACGGGCTGCATGTAGAGTTGTTGACGTCGTGCCCTTTCCCCTCAGCGGCCGGGCTAGCACTGAGTCACTACACGTCCGGCCGCGTGCCGACCACCCGCGCCCATAGACGAGGCCCCATCGCACCAAAGGGGGAGACCAGGCAACACATGATGAAAGCAAATACAAGTTATAATGGACAGTCGACATTCGGTCATCAGACAGTCGTCAAATTATTTATAGCCCACATGTTCACAAAACGCTTGACAGGTTTCAAAATTATCGCGCTGGCTAGTTCGGTCCATTAATCCTTCGTGCAAAGGGCTGCCGTATCGGGCCAAATGACGTCACAAGCACGTTGCGGTCCGGCCGCCTGCCATCTCCACCGACCTGACGTCGTCAGTGGGGAACAGCTCATCCAGCGGATCCAGAACATCCACGACCTCGGCGGCGCTGTCTCGGATTTCTGCCTCGTCATCCGCCAGCAGCGTCAGCAGAGACTTCCACATGCTCACCTCCTGCGGCACTGCGGGGTCAAGCGGCTCAGAACAGAGCCCGGGTAACGGGCGCTTCCACGTGCTCGTCTCGTGAACGACTGGGAGGTCAACCTAGTATATACATATAAGTATACATCTACACATTATGTGTATCAGGGAAGGGGCAGCAAAAAAAAAAAATACTGGCGTGCTTACCTCTTAAGAGGAAGGAGGAGGGGGAGGAGGCAACCAGCCCAAAACGGCGCTGGAGGGAACTGTGGATCAACCGCCAATGCTGCACACGTTGATAAAATGACAAAATTTATAGGTAATCGATTCACGATGCACAACACACAAGACGAAAACGAAGGCATCTTCTAAGAGCCAGAAGTTGTATTTTACCCCCACACTACGAACGCTGCTCAAAAAAGGAAGCACAGAGACTCGGCACAAATCAGCAGTCCACTGCAATCAGTAGTTCCGTAGCAATCAGCCCTCATCAGTGGTCATCAGTGGAGATCAACAGCTCCGGACCGCTACGCACGCGGGGAGGAGGATGGGAATCGTTCAAAGCTGACCGACGGTTCCGCTGACCAGGGCCGGAGTGCAGTCAGTTACTACTGGTGAAATTAAGTACAATTGCAAATAAAGTACAACTGATACTGGTGAAAGCCACTATAAGTCTGTGTCCACACCCCTTCTCCACATTCAAGACGAAACCATCCAAACATTCCGACTCGCTCGGGCACGCCCGGACTCTACAGACGCGTCGGGCCTATCCAGCCAGGCACGAACTTTAACAACGCTGGACTTATTTACAAGAAAATCCGAACTGATAAAGAAATAAAAGCATACACGCTTTTTTGGTATGATGGGGGGCATTACCCAGCGCCACGAAATAAAAAAAACGCGCTACAAAATGACCCTTCAGTCTCCATCCAAATGCACAGCATTTAGTTCATCTCCGCGCTTCCTCCGCCACCAGACAACCAGTGAGCGAGCAGCTGGCGCCCCGCCGCGGCGTCTGAGCGCCTGAGCGCCTCCCAGCCTCTCACCGGTCAGGCGTCCGGCGGGCCAGCGCAGCGCCGCGCCTGTCGCCTCACACGCCGCCCTCCGCAGGCACAGGCGCCCGTCCACGCGGCAGGCGTGCTCCACCAGCCGGGACCAGGCGTCCAGCACGGCGCCCAGCTCCTGCCGCGGCGGAGGGCACGCGTCACGAGCTCGGAAGACATGTCCACACAGCGACTGGCGGGAACCTTGAGCGCAAGCGCCTGACGCAGCACCTTGCCGCGCGCCGCCGCCGAGGAGGCCGAGTCTCACCTCGGTCCGCGGGTCCAGGTCGTCCAGCACGCTGACGGCCAGGCGGAGGAAAGCAGCGCGCACCTCGTCATGCGCGGCGGCGGCGCGGCGGATGACAGCGGCCGCCGCCTCCTCCTCCTCCTCCTCCTCGCCCGGCCCCGGCGCCGGCGCGGCCAGCCGGCGCACAACCCCGCACACGAGCGGCGGCCAGCCGGCGGCGGCGCCGGCCCGCCGCGCCACGTCCAGCACGGCGGCCAGGCCGGCCGGCGGCAGGTCGGCGGCGCGCAGCCGGCGGAGCAGCGCGGCGGCCGTGGCGTCCAGCCAGGCCGGTACGGGCGCGGCGCGGCCGACAGCCGAGTCGCCGCCCTCGCCCAGCGCGTCCGGCACGGGCGCCGGCCGCGCCACCGGGCTAAGCCGGTCGGTGGCGGCCGGCGCCGCGCCGTCGGTCGCCAGCCACTCGGCAAGTAGCTGCAGGTGGCGCCGCAGCGGCTCGCAGCCGGCCAGCCGCTCCACGTCGACGGCCGCCTCGGCACCGAGCGTCCAGAGCAAGCCGACGGCAGACACCTGAGCCGTCTCGGAGCCGTACAGCGCCGGCGGCGCCGTCAGCAGGCGCGCGGCGGCGGCGCCCAGCGCCGGTGGCGGCGGCGGCGCCGACAGCAGCGCGCCCAGCCGCGCCGCCGCTGCCACGGCGTCGCAGGCGGCCGCCTGCGTCAGCGGGCACCGGTTGGGTGGCGAGAGCAGCGCCCCCAGCAGCAGGCAGCGGTCAGCCACCGGCCGCCAGCGTAGAAGGTCCGGCGGCGTGTAGGCAGACGTCTCCACCACGCAGTGCCGCAGCATGTACAGTACCTGGCGAGGGGCGTCCCGCAGTGATGCCAGCCACACCAACAGTCTTACATTCACACAAGACCCACATGAGATCTGTTACGCTCAAAGAGCAGGACGGTGCGCTGACGCCGTTATGCTGGCGGCCATACCTTACCGCTGATGTCATCCTGACAAGTAAATAATCTGGAAGAACTCGGCATCCAGCCTTATGAACAAGGCCGCCATATTTCCTACTGCCACACACCCGGCCACGTGTAGTCCTGTCCCGCCAAGAGTGCACACAGGCAACACGCATGCGCTAGTTGGCCACCGTAGGACCACTATCTTGACAGAGGCTTTGACTCTGTGGCCCGGTCTGTCCCGGGCCAGAGCTTGACAGGGATTTCGATTAGACAGACGTGACCAGCTCACTTCTCCTGCAGCCCCTCCTCTCGCGACATTACCGGACAATGCCAACATCGACTTGGCTCGTCCTCCACTCGTAACCAGTCCAGCCAGGTCAGCCCCGCTAGCTCGGCAGACCCTCCCTAGCGGCCAGCCCGCCACCAGACTGCCCCTCTGTGCCGGCCCGCTCCGCACCTGCAGCAGGCGGCCATGCAGCAGGTTCTGGTTGCGCAGGCCGTCGCGTTCGATCTCGTCCAGCAGCGCCAGCGTCGCCTCCGGGTAGCTCGAGTATGGCAGCAGCGAGCAGATGGCGCGCGCCGCCAGCAGACGTGCCTGCAGCACCATGGAGGCGGCGGCCGCGCGCAGCGCTGGCAGGAACGCCCGCAGCTGCAGCCCGGCCGCGACCGACAGTCACAAAGACAGCACGGTGCGACGGCCGGCCGCGCAGGCTGTGCACACTGAACGGCGGCTATACAATGGTATGCCTGTACATGCATACGCATATGACATAGAGATCGGCATCAACTGAGAGAAACCAGGGTATACATTGGGCAGCGGCACACGTCTACCCGAGCTCGCACGAGAAAAGCTCTTAGAGACCTTATTGCTGTGGCGAAAGCACAGCCCAGCAACACTATACCACAGTTCGCTACAAAATAGCTTACAAATAAAGAGCCATTACTCCTGCATCACTGCTATTACTAGAAAACACCACACCATTACGGGGTAATACTAACTCGTCCTCATTTGGCCCCACCACAAGTTAATAGCAAGCATGAGCTCAAACAATATCACAAGAGCCACAACGGAACACACCTCCTCGTCCGAGACGTTCTCCCAGTGTCGGGCCACAAGGCCGCCACCCGGCCCCTCACCGGGTACTGCGAGTCGCTGCCCTCAACCGGCGATGGGTAGAGCCGCGCCAGCAGCAGCAGCACGGGGAACGGGTCCCGACTGGCCGCCAGCTCCGCACACAGGAACGGGTAGAGCGCCGGGTAGCGCAGGAAGAACAGCCGGCCCGTCATGCAGTTCTTCTTGGCGAGCGTGTCCCTGCTGCGCTGAACGCCGAACACGCGCGTCACTAGCGCGGCGAAGAGCAGTGACGCAGAGTTACGCTCCTGGGGACACGGCGGTCTGGGTCACAACCCGCTCCTGGAGACGCATGGGGGCGGGTCATATCTCCGCTCCTGGGGACACGGCGGTCTGGGTCACAACCCCGCTCCTGGAGACGCATGGAGAAGGGCCATATCTCCGCTCCTGGGGACACGGCGGTCAGTGTCACAACTCCGCTCCTGGAGACGTAAGGAGAAGGGTTATATCTCCGCTCCTGGGGACACGGCGGTCAGGGTCACAACTCCGCTCCTGGAGACGTAAGGAGAAGGGTTATATCTCCGCTCCTGGGGACACGGCGGTCAGGGTCACAACCCCGCTCCTGGAGACGCATGGGGGCGGGTCATATCTCCGCTCCTGGGGACACGGTGGTCGGGGCCACAACCCCGCTCCTGGAGACGCATGGAGAAGGGTCATATCTCCGCTCCTGGGGACACGGCGGTCAGGGTCACAACTCCGCTTCTGGAGACGCATGGAGAAGGGTCATATCTCCGCTCCCGGAGACACGGTGGTCGGGGCCACAACCCCGCTCCTGGAGACGCATGGAGAAGGGTCATATCTCCGCTCCTGGAGACACGGCGGTCAGGGTCACAGCTCCGCTCCTGGAGACGCATGGAGAAGGGTCATATCTCCGCTCCTGGAGACACGGTGGTCAGGGTCACAACTCCGCTCCTGGACACGCATGGGAAAGGGTCATATCTCCGCTCCTGGGGACACGGCGGTCTGGGCTACAGCACCGCTCCTAGAGACGCAGGGAAGGGTCATATCTCCGCTCCTGGAGACACGGCGGTCAGGGTCACAACTCTGCTCCTGGAGACGCATGGAGAAGGGTCATATCTCCGCTCCTGGGGACACGGCGGTCAGAGTCACAACTCCGTTCCTTGAGACGCATGGGGAAGGGTCATATCTCCGCTCCTGGGGACACGGCGGTCAGGGTTACAGCTCCGCTCCTGGAGACACATGGGGAAGGGTCATATCTCCGCTCCTGGAGACACGACGGTCAGGATCACAACTCCGCTCCTGCAGACGCACAGGGTGGGTTCACAATTTAGCTCCCCCGGGACGCACGGGGAGGTGTCACAACTCAGCTCCCGGGGACGTACGGGGTGGGGTCAGCAGAAACTGCTCGTAGGGGATGGGGACACACGGGGGGATAGCCATAGGAGTTTTGTCTCTGACGATAAAGGTCGTTCAAACACTTGGGTCTCACCAGACACCATGGGGCGTTAATGCCCATCAGTCTTCTCTCCTGGAAACAAGGCTGAAGTGACCATCAGACTGGAAGAACCCTCGAACACCACGCAGCCTTGATCGCACATGCAGCCAATGTCTCCTACGGACACAACACCACGATGCAGGGCAGAACTCTGTCCGCCGAGCAGCCTCCAACGGGGCACCGGGGGCCCGGACAGGGCACGTGACGCACCGCGCACGTGTCGGCCTTGAAGGCCGTCACAGCGGCCATGATGCCGTCGGTCACGTGCGCGCCGACACTCTCGCCGAGCCGGGCGTCACGGAACAGGGCGCGCAGAACGTTCATGGCGTGTACGGACGTCTCGCCGCCCTGCGTCGCCACCTCCAGCAGCGAGCTCATCGAGCGGCTGAAGTACGCCGAGCCGATCACAGATGGCTCTGACGTCAGCAGCGCCTGCAACGAGCGGGTCATTGTCAATGAAAACACGGACAGCGATGAGGGTCTATTAGTCGTAGACGTAAATAGCCCGCAAATTCGTGAAGCTTTCCCATGCGCTAAGAAGTTGACATATAAATAATCTGCTCATTTTGGCTCTGATGCATTAAGCAAATGCAGCCAGCATGCAACTTATGGGTCATGAGCACGCAAAGTAAATAAAATAGAGCATTACCATACGCAAAAGCCATACGCCACAGCTGTAATGTGCTCACACCAGCTCAGGAAAGCGACTGGCACGCTCCGCTCGACAGGGCTCAAGTAATGTGAGCAGGCGCCTGTCCTCGCCACACACGTGTTACGTCGGCGACTGGTTAGGTCAGCCAGTAACTAACAGCGGTCGGTTTCGATCAGCTGCTCGGTCCTAACATCCGAGCGGCCGCCCCAACCGCCTTTTACACGTACGGGTGTGGCGGGGTATGGTGCTATGGAGCAGGGTCAAGGCAAGCTAGCTGTGCAGTATCCAGTGTTCGTTAGGAAGAAGGCGCGCGGCACATTTTCTTCAGCCACAGTTATAACGCTTCCATACCGGCGATGGTCGCACATAGCTGGCCAGGATATTCCCCACTATCACGACCCTTTCCTGAACTGCACAACTCCGAAATCATCCAGCAAGGTCACAGAAGCAGTTGACAATTCGAGCACCTGAGCACAAACCCAATGGCCTAAGCAGCCGACGCGCTCCACAGTACTCAATCGGACGGCATATGACACACCATACGAGCGGCATCAGTGTTAGCGGCGAGTCCACACCTGCATCAGGAAGGGGAGTCCGGCACTGCGGCGGGTGGAGCAGAGCGTCTGTCGTCCCTCCCCCCGGATGTCGGCAACGACCTCGTCCAACCAGCGGCCCGGAGTCTGGTTCAGCTCCGGCAGCGGCGACCTGGGGCGGCGGGGTCGCCGGGTCAAGTCCCCAAACGGCGGCCGGATGTGGCGCCCGGCTCATTCGAGGCCCGTTGACGACCGGCCGCCGGCTGCCAATACGATGGCGAACTCGGGGCTACCGACACAGCGTACAGCGAACGACCGCATGACCCCGGCACAGCACGTCACGAGACCTCAGCGCCCGGCAGACAAACGGTGGCTGCCGGTGCTCAGGGCACACATCTGTGCGTGCCGCCGCCTTCCACGGCGGACTCCCACCTCCACGCCGACCTACTTCCAGAGCGTGTGGCAGACGCGGCTGAAGCCCACGTGCGCCTGCTCGAAGGCGCCGCGGTGCCGTGTCTCGGCCAGCAGCGCCATGAAGTGGCGGCCGACCTGCAACAGCTCGGCCGGCGTCAGCAGGCCGCCGCCACTCTCCGGCGAGGCGGCGGCTGCCACCGGCATCCGCTGGCCGACGTCCGCCAGCAGCAGGCACACCTGTCGGCGACGGCGCGCTGGTTCAGTACCGTCAGTCGAGGAAGGAACACACGCCTGTCGACGACACGAGATCAACACAGACAGCAGCAGTGCACACGCCTGTCACTGGTGGGGGAACCGATGTGTACACATCATCGTAAATATTTGAATAGCACGGAGACAGCTGGAATAGATCGAAGTCTGCGTCTAATCTGCATTGTACACTCCATGAGGCAAAACACACACACGCATATCATTAAGGTTACAGCCATTACATCCATTAGACCTTCACCGGAAGAGCCTGCAATCCTGAAATAACGGGGCATCACCATCCACTCCCGCAATACGTGAAACCTCCTGCCTCACAGCCCCCACGCCAGGCCACAAACTCGTAAGCACGGAGCACAGACCCGGAGAGCACGCCCCACCGCGAGGCGCTGCTCCGCCGCCCACCTCCTTGACGGTGCGCCACGAGCAGATGAGCAGCATCTGGGCAGTGACGCCGAGCGCGCGGTCGGCCTCGGCGGCGGCGGCGGCGGCCGGCGCCAGTGCGCGGCCCAGCGCGGCGCCCAGCCGCATCACCGCCTCCGAATCGCGGTCCATCGGCAGATGCCCTTCCGGCGAGGAGCTGCTCACCACGGGCAGCACAGCGGCCGAGGCGCGCTGGCAGAGCAGCAGCAGCCGGCGGCCCAGGCCGCGCCAGTCGGGCACGCACCTGGCCCGGGCACACAGACATTTATACACATATACATCGGTCACGTCCCGCCGCCCGCTCAGCAGCCGGCACGGCACGTCGCCGGAAGGACAGATGCCGTGCCAGCTGCCAAAACAGGCTGCGACTGGAATGGAAGCTGACAATTGCAGGCATCTTCTGGAATTATGTTCAATTCATTGTGATTCGCGGTCACGGTGCACATGGCTTTACAACTGAAGCTCCGCATAATTGTGCTCAGATGCAGAATGATCATCCACTGTGTCCAAGTCCAGCGCAAAAATACCACACCATTGCATAATTGCGTCTATCAGCAGTGCCTTCAACCAGCGGGACGGAAAATCCCGCTTTAACGACACCTGGGCACCTCCAGCAGCACCACCGCACTAGCCCGCACTCTCCCAGCGCGCATCCCGAACCGCCGCTCCGGGGGAGAGGGAAGGGATGCTCACGTGACAGCGGCGGCGGCGCCCGGGTCGGCCAGCAGCAGGCGCACGCACAGCAGCAGGCCGTGCATAGGCGCCTGAGCGGCAGCTGCCGTCAGCGCCGCCTCGGCCAGCGCCAGCTCCGACTCCAGCCGCGCCAACAGCAGCTCCAGCAGCAGATGGCCCGCCTCCGACGCCCGCGCCGCCTGGCCGGCCGGCTCCGGGCGGCCCTGGTCTTGACCACCGACTTCCGGCATGCCCAGCGCGTGGCCACCAGCCCCTGGCTTACTCATATCTTGACTACCGGCCTCCGCCTTACCACGGTCTTTAATTCCCGTCTCTGGGGCTTGCCGCTCCTGACCGCCCACCAGCTGCGCCCCCCACTCTGGGCCATGCGCCCCTGCCGACACCAGCTGCTCGGGACCGGCCGGGACGCCCTCCCCGCACCGCGCGCCGGAGGGGGAGGCCTCCCGCCGCGTCAGTCCGCCGGGGGCGTCCTTCCCGGCCAGCTCGCCGCAGGCGGCGGCCGCCTCCCCATCCTGTAGAGGGACACCGGTGTCCGCGCCGGACTGCTGTGTGCTGGCGTGTGCTGCCTCCGTGACCGTCTGGCCGGCCGCCGGCGCACCCCTGCCGGACGGCGCGCGGTGAAGGCAGCTACACTCCGCTAGCCCGAGCGCGTCAGAGAAGGCCACCAGCGGGTCACCGCACCCCAAGCTGGCGGGCTCAGTCACGCCACTGTCACCTGGTGACCGCTGGTGCTCGGAGGAATGGAATCTGGTAACCGCTGGTGCTCGGAGGAATGGGACCTGGTAACCGCTGGTGCTCGGAGGAATGGGACCTGGCGACCGCTGGTGCTCGGAGGAATGGGATCTGGTAACCGCTGGTGCTCGGAGGAATGGGACCTGGTAACCGCTGGTGCTCGGAGGAATGGGACCTGGTGACCGCTGGTGCTCGGAAGAATGGGATCTGGTAACCGCTGGTACTCGGAGGAATGAGGTCTGGTAACCGCTGGTGCTCGGAGGAACGAGGTCTTATCGAACAGGTTTGGCCGGAATGGTAATATCTTTTGCTGCGAATCTTTTTTTCGTGGTGTTGCTGATGGGTCAGCCTGGTACATAGAACGGTAGTAATTTCAATCAATCTTAGAATGGCGAGCCGAAACATTCAACGAGCGCGTCTCCCTCCACACCATCCGACATAATGACCACCATCACCAACACATCACCGTGTCTCCCACAACCAACCTAACGACCACACCGCCTCCACCAGCGCGCCGCCGCCTCTCACGCCGTCCCATCGCCAGCCGCGCACCGCCCCGCGCAGCGCCGCGCCTCCTCACCGCAGGTCCGGACGGCCGAGCTCGGCCAGCCGGCGGCGGAGCGCGGCGGCGGCGCCCGGCAGGCGGACCAGCGCGCGCAGCAGGTAGGCGGCCGTCTGCGAGTCGGGCGGCCGCGGGCTGCTGGCCAGCGAGAGCGCCGAGCTGAGCAGTGCCTCCAGGTCCGGCGTCTGGCGGCGAGGCCCCAGCACGGCGTCAGCAGGCGAGCCGTGCCACTGGTAATGACGCACGCGGCGGCCATTGCCATCGTCTGATGACACCATCACATGACTTCGAAGCGCAGCGTTCAGGGGAATCGTTACGACCGTCGTGGGTTTACCACAGAAGTCACCGGTAAAGCCTTCACTGCCGAACTGTTTCAGCCCACCAACAACACAACTCCCAGTCCAACAACAGTTCCAATTCCCAACAACACAACTCCAACAACAGATCCAACAACAGCTCCAAACCACACAACACAACTCCAGGTCCAACAGCTCCAACTCCAACAACACAACTCCCGGTACAGCAACGGCTCCAACTCCAACACAACTCCCGGTCCAACAACAGCCCCAACTCCAACAACACAACTTCTGATCCCGCCCGGACAATCCAAATGAGCTCGCCAAAAGACACGAACAAAAGCAAAGCCAGCACAACTTCCTCCCCCTCGCCCGCCCGCGGGACAGGGGGCGGGCGGCTCACCTCCAGCTCCAGCAGACGGAGGTCGTGCGAGACAAGGAAGCGCAGCGCCATCTCCTTGTTGTTCTCGTAGCAATCGGTCAAGCAGTGCAGCATGGCGAGCAGGTGGTGCCGCCGCCACCACGGAGCCGTACACATCACCGCCCTGCCGACACACGGGACCGCCAGCGCGTCACCGCCAGGGGCGCCACCGCTGCCGGCGTCAGGCCGCGGCGCGGGCGGGCACGGCGGGCTGCGCGGACGGCCCAGCGGTCAGCCAGCTACCCGCGGCGACCACGCCACGGCGCGTTCCATGGCGTCGTCGCTCTCGACGGTAGACAATACTAACGATCCAAAAGTCGACGATGGGCCTTAAGCTGGCCTAAAAGGGGTCAGAACGCCACAGTTTTCCAGGCGGGACGGCGGCGTCCGGCGCTGGACCCGCTATCCCACCTGCTGCTGTCGCCGAAGAAGTCCTCGACCAGCGTGAGAAGGTGGAGACAGGTGCAGCGGCGGGGGAAGTTAGCGCCCGGAAACAGGCCGGCGAACGGCAGCTCGAACAGCTGGCGCAGACACGTCTCGAACACCTGCAGCCGCTCCAGCGCCGGCAGGCTGCCACCTGGCGGGCCGGGCCGGCGCTCTGCTTCGGTCACCTGCCGCAGGAGGGCGCTAGTGCCGTCCGCCAGCCGCAGCAGGATCTGCGGCGAGGCCAGAGATCAGAGGCCGTGCTCGTGACGTCAGCAGGGGGCGGGGGGAGCGGACGGCGCTCTTACCGCCATCCACATCCCACTGTCATGATCTTTTCCTGCTGTGGCACTTCACAAACCATGCTAAAAAGGTGCAGAACTCAGGTTGAAGTGGGTACAAGGAAGCAATTATAGGTTAAGTTAGGTATTAATTGTTATAGCCGCCGTCTTGCAGGTCGGTTAACCGTTCATGGCGTTGTGACGCGAAAGGAAACACGATGAGCAATCCAAACTACGGTAGCCAGGGCTCTAGAACCGCGCGCAATCCATTAAGTCAAACCCCTGTCGCAGGGCCAGCTTGGCGCAGCACTTTCGGAGGAGGTCAGCTGCCAGAACTAAACCGCACGCCCGCGCCCACGAGACATGGAGGGTCTGCCTCCCTTAGCGCTCCCACATCCTCCGTGATGAGCGCCCGGCGTCACACTGCCCCAGACGCGGCCGCTGACCGGTCACGTGACCGCCCCACCCCCACCTTCTTGAGCGCCGCCGTCAGCTGCTGCCGGAACGCCGGCGTCTGATTGGTCAGGTTGGCGCTGACGAAGCGCACGATCAGCCGCAGCTCCACGGGCTCGAACAGCTGCGAAGTCTTCTGGCTGTCCGAGAGCACGGTCAGAGCGGCGATGCGCACCTGCAGCAGGCGACAGAGCGTCGCTGACGGACTGCGCTAAGCAGCACAGCAACACATCGCATCGACTCACACTTTGATACGCAGCCGGCGCTAAACGTCCCGGCAGCCATAGAAAAGGCTGGAAAAACAAAATTTTGCGAAGTTTCTTGTTGTGTTGATATACAATTATATCTAGATGAGGTTTCAAATGATGTAGGTTGTATGCTGAAGCTGTTCATCACCTAACAAGGAATTCGCTTGACAGAAGAAGAATTAGCTCGCACTGGACGTTCGGTGGGGGGCGGTTTCCGCCACACCAGTGTCAACACGTGCCAAGCGCCCGCTCCACATCTGCCAGACGCCGGTCGAAACAGGACCATGGCGGTCCGCCAACTGCGCCGCCTCCACCTCGGCCTCGGCCT